AAGGAACAGTTGCAGTATACCAGAAAGACCATGATACTGTAACAAGTTCCCTTGTTACATTATCATGGATCTGGTATACTGCAACTGTTCTTTTGTTTGCGTGTAGGTTCAGTTTGTTAATAGTTCTTTATATTAGTTTACTTGTTTTCAGTTGATTATTAATTTTAAATTACTAAACCATCCATTGTTAAATTAAACTCTCCTCTTTGAGAACATTTATGTTAGAGGTTACTATTAAACTAGTTTTAATTTTGTTTTGCAATATACGATAATTATTGTTTTAATTTTGGATATCGATGTTTTGTGGTGGATTCACATCCCTATGCTCAAGTGAGCAGTCCACTTGGCGTGCCTAGCCCAGCGCAACATCTGCGGGCCACCGGTGTAGCACATTGCTTGTTGAGTCATCCCGTCGGGAAGGGAGAGGAGGCGCGATCTACTCTAGTCTAGCGAAAGGCGTGTGGCAAGCGGGCCACCGCGGGCGGTATCCCGTATTTCTTGCTTTTGAGCAGCCCTGCATTGCAGCAAGGCAGGCTGTCCAACACAGCGGCCCTAAGGCGCACGAGTTGCCACGTGCAATGTTTCAGGCCCACTTCTGAGAAGACTACGTTCGTGGAAGGGCCTGCGCTGGTCCGCCGGCAGTGGTGAAATGGGGTGAGGGGCAGAAAGCGGCCGTAACGTTGCCTTGGGCATTTTCCGGGCCACGATGCTCTGAATGCTGCTCGTTGGTCACAATTACTATATTATATCCCCATCCAGCCAATAGAATACATAAGGCCAGAGCTGAGTGTCTTGGGTAATGCTCGAGGATGTGTACCCTTTCACAATTTGAATGGTCGAAAAAAATAATTATTTTTGTGAAATCAAAAGGCAGAAAATGCAGGTTTTTATGATATTTGAGAAAGAGGTAAAATCTAATTCGTATACATATGGGGTAGTTCATCTGCCTGGTTCTTTTTCAATATTTTAGTTCTAGACACTAGCGTACCCGTGCGAGAATTTTCACATGATAAACGCCACCCTCGTATCTTCCGTCACTTGTTCTATAGGTCTCATTATAATTATACTAATTTAACGTATTTTGACATTGCACTACAAAAGACATTCGTTAATAAAAAAAAATTCGTATTTCACTTTATTACCGAAAAGAAAGGTATTCCCGAGCAAATGAATCGCATTGAATATCAAGTGGTTTAATTTCACACACAGTTGCAGATACTGTACCTCTGAACAACTGATGTTGAATCGACAATCCAAATTTTAAGGCAGATTTTCGTTTCGAAGCTATACGACTTTATCGATTTCAACAACGAAGCCCGAGCGTTGCGGGTTGCATTTGACATAAATATCTAGATGTGTTTTTTATTAAGAAATCCTCCATATTTTTAAAGTTAAAGTGAAATTCGTCAAGTCTTCGTGAAATTTTCTTTCTTTAGAGACCTTAGAGATGAAGATTGGTTGCATCTGAGAGACACAAAACTCATCTTCACTACTGAAATAATATACGAGAGGATGATATATAATTTTAACTACTTGTTTACTTGAAGGTTCGTAATAATACTAGGTAACTTTATCATTCTTACTGTTATGCCTGGTGTATGTTAGATGTTGGAAACAGTTCAGTCAGACAGTACCACTTATCTTTTGTTTTCTTTTCTTTCTTCAGAAAATGAGCTCTGCAAAAGGCTGTCTTAGCGTGGTGTCTCTGGCATGTATTTTAATGTTAAAAACTTAATTTGTGTTCTGTAAGTTCATAATAAAAACAAATTTGCAACGTAACGCAGTTGCCTAGCTCGTGCATTCTCGGGAATAGAAAGTTACATGATAAATTATCGATGGAATTTAAAAAAATGCGTGTTTCATTAAACAAATTACGTTTAACTATCGTCAAATCTGAAGATAAATTATACCGTTAAGGCATTTGTCGACGTTTCACCAGTATACTATAAGTGCCTTGAAATCCCCCAAAACACTCTTTTTAGAATTTTTGTACTATATTCTAGAAGAATTTGTTCTGTTCCGAGGAATCGAATGAGCTTTTGATTACCTCTGTAAGTGCCTCTGTAAGTTTTTCTTGGTCTTTAGTGGATGTTTTAAGGGGATTTTTTTAGGATTTTTGTTGAGAGTTTTCGTTGAGTTTTTTAAATGTAAATTAAAAAATCTGTTTTTATCACAAAATAACACAACTCATAAATATACCTGCAATAACCATAGTTCTCTATGATTATTCCAGGTACATTTATTCAAATATAGCGTGTGAGTGTGATAAAAGCACTTACTGGCGTGTTTATTTGAATGAATTTCCTCTTTTAAAATTGTGCGATTATTTGTCACAACCAGTAACAACCAAAAACCAAAACTTGCTAGACGAAGGCAACACATTGATGAAAAAGATCGAATCACTGCAATAAACAAGTAATGTAAGCAACGACCGTGGTTGAAGAAAAGTTTTACATTATCATTTATTCAGTCGTTACAGCGAGTGAGACCAAGATACCTCTTACGTTTCATAACTAGTACACAGTGTGAAATTGTACTTAAAATAAAACTTATACAATGTGTGTATATATGCACATTAATACTATCTAAATTGTTGTTATATTTTTATGCATCACAAATATGCCTCTTTACTGTAAAATATAAGTATCATTATATATATATTTAATAATATTTTTCGTATTTCATTAATTTCCATACCTCTTCATATTTTAAACATGAAGAAATCTTTTTTATTTTTGCGATTTTTTCACGTTTTTGCGTTTTTGCAGAGCATTATTGTGCAAAATGTTCGAGACCGCCGGGCAACACTGGACTGGACTGGCGTGACTACTATTCTGAACTACGTTCGTCTGTAGGTGGCGTGGCAACTCTTCCCCACTGTACGGGCGAGACTGCGCCCCGACAACGCGACTATGCTGCTCGTGTGAATACCTCCATTTAATTAATGTTTTTCCAGCAGAATCGCTTCTCAGTAGCCTTGTTTAAAGGGGTCTGAAACTGATTTGAACCAGATGAGTCGACTCCTGATTTTCATCGGGATAAGTGATCGTGATTGTTCGTCCCTTGAAGTTTTGGAACCTTGTTTAGGGAACGGCACTCTAAAGGCCAAATAGCCCAAATGTACCGTCCTCCAAAACAACCCAACACAGCCGAACTTGATGAATAGCGGATGAGCGGGGCAGTCGGCAGGTGACCTAAAAACTCGAGACGTGCGCGAAATCGGACAGGTAAAATTGTCCGGTTCCGCGTAGTTTGAATGGGGTTGCTGTAGGATCCGCGACAAAACCCTTGGGGCGACTGTAGGTGTCACGAGGAACACGCAGACGCACTTCAGCCGCCCGAGGGACTCACCTCACTTGCTCCAGCTCCGACGTGCGGCTTTGGCGCAGCTTCAGCACCAGCACGCGGATGATGTTCAGCAGGAAGAGCAGGTTCAGCTGCGCACAGGAGCACATCACACACGTTTAGATTACATAAGTGATTCAGGGCGCGTCAATATCATTAGTCCCGTAAGTATAGTGCATGCTTTTTGCTGGTTATGGCGGTGAACTTCTTCCGCTGGATTTCGAGGTCCGGTGCCGACCTACGTCAGATTGCAGGGATTTCCACCAACCAGGTATCCCCCACCAGCGGGCCACCGCCCCAGACGGGACAAGCTCTAAGCTCCCGACTAGTCTCTCGAGATGTGTGGCACTGTAGGGTGAGTGTAAGTAACTGGGCGAGGATAGGACAAGGAAGAGGAAGGAAAGATCGCACGCAGTCCGTGGTCCGTTTGTAAGGGTTCTGCTTCGGCATTCGCAAATGTATTCATATTGCCATTATTGAATTTACCTGTTGCATCTTTCTTAAGTAACTCGCCAGAGCTAACAAAGAAGTAGAATATTCCCACCCATTCGCCCTATTAGTCATAAATGCCTCGGAGACATGAGGCGGCACCTGGCACCTTGCTTGCCAGATTCAGTGCACGTATTTGAACGTGTCATTTGTAATGGCAATGTAAATACATACTATTTACTTGTAAAGCAACATAATTGCTATAATTACGATTAATTTTAATAATAGGCGAATAGAGATAGAAAAAAACTCTTTTGCCTTCTGGGGCACCCTTCAGTTCTCCCATTCTCCTATGTTAGAGGTGTGTCAGGTGGACTCGAAAATTCCACGAGAAAGGAACGTGCTGCTCATTTGGGAGCTGCGGCGAGTAGCGCCAGAATGCGTAACTAAATGCTTGTAGTAAAAACTCACAGGCGGGTGGAACTGTGACAAAGTTCCCATTTGAACATTAGAAAGTAGAACTTCTGTAGACGGAATGGAACATCTGCATTTGGCAAAGTTAGCTCCCCGCAGCAATACGATTGCTGGAGGAAGGCTGCCGCAAACTTCACTTCGGCGGTGACACTATCTGCACGATCGTTCCCTTCCAATAAACTACGTAGTGACGCAGCCGGGAGGAGAGCAACAGGAGGTAGGATGGGTGGTGAAAAGACGAGGGCGGCGGCGGCGAAAGAGGCGAGGGTGGCGGCGACAGTGGTCGTTCCGTTAACGATCGCCACGTGCCGCCTCCGTCGCCTTCCGCCGCCGCCGCCGCCGCAGTCTTTTGTTCGTCGCGCCGTGGACGAGCTGCTTCCCTTCCGCCCGTCCTCTCCGTCCAGCGTGCCCGCGCGCCACTCCCCCGCGGCTAAGCGGCGTCCTCGCTCCCCGAGGACACCTGCGCGCGTCGGGGCACAAAGGCACGTTAAAGGCTCGTTTACACTGCGCCCGTTTGCCGGCGACTCCCTCGCGGATTTGCTGGACCTGGCAGCCGACGCGGCCCCCGGCACGCTCGCAATCTGCCCCACGCGCGTGGCGAGAAGGCGCAGATGCGTTCCGGGAACGAAATGCCGACTCCGGCTCCGCCGAGAACAGCTTCGCAAACTTTGTGAAGAACAGCGTCGTGCAGTATATCAAGAATATCGTCGCAGTCTCGTTCAAGAACGACGTCGCAGTCTCGTTCAAGAACGACGTCGCAGTCTCGTTCCAGGACGACGTCGCAGTCTCGTTCAAGAACGACGTCGCAGTCTCGTTTAAGAACGACGTCGCAGAGTGCCTCTTTCCTAAACGGTGACATAATCTCAGACAATAAACAATATAAAGTCTGCCCGGAACACGATTGTTTTCAACGAAATTGGATGCAAGTCAACTAAGGCAGTAATGTCGAAGCTCTACTCCGTGCTGCACTTTTTCCCAAAACGCGCAATGAATCGCCAGCTATTAATTGCTTTATACTGTAATAGAATGTAACATCAGTCAAGATGGCGAATGAGGTCAAGTGAAGGGTTGCCGCTTAGCGATCCTAAAACACATTAACAAAGTATGTAGGCATAAATAAATGTAGACACATGGAAGGACGTGAAAAGAAAATGCCTGAAAGTTCATGGTTAAGAACATACCAGGAGAAACGGATCTATCAAACCTGAAAAAGCGTCTTCCACATAGGTACGTGGCATATGGAGTAACATCGCTAAGGGAACTGTATTGAGTATTCTAAAAGGGGAATGTCACATTAGTATTCTATACTCATAAAACTGAATTCAACGACATGTAACGGACATCGGTATCACCGATATTAGTGTATGAAAAGATACCACATTTTTTCATCCTTATCTTATGAATTGTTTCAGTGCCCTTGCAAAGTTTGGTAGAGACTAATGCGTCACAAATGGTGAAAATAAATAATGTAAATAATATGTTGGTAAATGCACCACAATCATTATGTTTTGCCTATCGCTAAGAGCAGATAAGCTCCTTATATATTCCGCCAGAGACCAGCAATGTTGCGACAGAATTGGTACTTAATATATTCCGCCAGAGGCCAGTAGCGATGCAGCAGAACCGGTTCTTAATAGTTCGCTAGAGGTCTAGAGCAGTGCGTAAGATAAACATTTTTAAACTAATAGCAATGTACCGTAAAATAAAATGAAAAGAAATTATAATATATTATTAAATTATCAATTCACTTATGTATTTAATAAAATATATCCTACAAGCATTTATTCCTTTTACTATAAAGTTGTGGAATTTTAAGTTATATCTTCATTTCAGGCAGCCCTTCAATTGTATTCTCAATCAAGAATAGCGTCATAACCTCTGTCGAGAAGGTTATCATTGTTTGTAAAGTGAACAGCGACATAATCTCCGAACAATAGCACCAAGAAATGCCGTAAATTGCAACTGCCTGAAATGTAGTTTTCAACGCGGTATATATACTATGAATCTCCTGGTGTGTATGAAAAGCATATAGAAGCCAAACTTCTGGGGGGAATCGCGGATAATGACGTGTGATGCGGAAATATAAATCTTGGAGACGCTTTTTTTTCTGTTTTAAGACGTAATAAACACGAAAACTCCCATATGTCGTCTGATGGCACAAATGGGTGATTATGGTACAAAAGAATAAGGCTCAAATGCATGAAAGCAAATTCTTTTTAGCTGTATTTGTACTTAGAGGCCAAATTATTTACGTATTTTTTGTTTGCAGGTTGGCGTTAATATGCTAATGAGCTACATTTTGTTTACCCGTAGATACTCAATATTCAATCATGTGTTCGTTTCGCTCAAGGAATTGGAGTTTATTATCTTTTTTAACCATACACAAGGTCATTTGGAAGATTGTAATGACATTTTGCAAGATTTCCGTTCTTTTCCTTTAAGCCTTTATTTATCTTACGCACTTTCCTTTTGGTTCTCGTTCATTTATTTTCTGAAATCAATTAAAAATATTATTAACCAGTCTCATCTGGGAAAAACTTCGCAAAAGGTAAGTACATTTTCTGCAAGTGCGCCTTAATTCCCTTCCTCGCACGTTTGCGCTGTGTCGTGGAGAGACGCCCTTCAACACCATCCCTCGCGTTGAAAGCGCGAACAACTTTTCCTCGCTCGCGCGGGCGGGCGGGCGCTGGCGACGGAATCGAGCTGCTTCTCATTTGGCGCCGTGAGAACTTGTTGGCTACAAAACTCGTCGCTCGCTCGACTGAGGCGACTTAAATTGACGTCATAAGCACTTTCTCGCTACTCGTTTGCTGGTTTCTTGTCTGACTACTAAACTCGCCGTGGATATTCGATTTCCAACCATTTTAAATTCTTTCAATGACTATTCTGCTCTTTGTAATATTTGAAAAGCTGTTTTTTTAAATTTTTAAATACAGAAACTTTAAATAGGCAACGTTTGCAATAGAGACCAATATTTGTTTTCGTCTTCGAGAATATAATTACCAAAAACGGATGGAAATCATTGTTTTCACTTATTGTGATCCATTCTTTCTTTAATTCATGTAGTTCACTTAAAATATTTACTTCAAATATCTCTTGAACCGCTGCAAATATTGAGATAAAGTTTTCTCTAAAACGATTGTATGCGAGTGACAGAAGAGAAACTGTACAACAGTGTTCTATTTCATTTTCATGATAGAGATTTCTGCTCAAATATTATTTTTTAAATAGAACTAGTTATTTTAGCTCATGATCACGATCGTGAAGCTATTTTATGATGAATATTTCCCTATTTTACATAACAATATTTTGTTTAGAAATTCGGAGGTATTTTCGACGCAAGGCGACTCAGTTGCCACCTTCAAGAAACCGACGTGACACACGTGATGTTCCTTAAGTTGACCCTGCGGAGTGGCAAGGACAGCAATATCACGACGGGTTGGCATTTGACTTGACATGACTTGGGGCATTTCGTTTGCTTATGGGTGTGAATCTATTGTTTAAGAGTATAACCCCCAATCCACTATTGTCCTCGTTTGTTAAGGACAGGAGCATAATGTTTTGAACATACCTTTTTTTACTTCATTAAAAAAATTAATACCTGTCATCTTTTATAAGAGACGGAAAACGTGGCTTTCGGCACATGCATTATCTGCAAGACTGCGATGTCTCAGAGTGTTGGTCGCGTTTTTATGGTCTCCCCGAGCATGACTTATGTTTGTCCCATAAGCCGCAGGCGAAATAACTTAATTCTCCACTAACATTACACAAAGCTAAAAAAACATGACCAGATTGTGTGGCTACTTTTATTTAAGGGATGATCCTTGCTGCAAATTTCTGATCTCCATTTTCGACTGCTGTCTGTTACAAGCTGAAATAAGGAGCCGACGCATGGTTGTTGAATTCTATTACCTAGTGGTGTTGAAAGTACGTTCCATACAATTAACCGTATAGGATACAGGTTTCGTGTGGGTCTCTATTTGTCAGAAAAACAAACACTACTACTGGTCCCCTATACTTTTCGTATTATTGAATTAATTGAGGGTTACTCAATAAAAACGTCTACCTCGTTATTCTGAAAATGGTTCAAGATATTAGGATGAAATTTTTACTAAACAATTAAGGACGTAGAGGCTCATCAGTTGTATTTATTAGCTGTTGAATAGCAGTATTTATTTTGAAGATATTGGACCAAATTTGTGTTTTAAAATTGAACACAGTACTTTTTATGCAAATGAATAAGTCTTGAATTCTGCTATACAACATATTTCAGTATTTGATGTATAATTAACAGCACAACAAATTAAAATCCGACGCCAAACGAAAAGCAGGTACTGGGAAATTTGTGGCGCAACGCGATGTAAATATCGTTTACTGAAATTACGTTCTTGATAACAACACATATGGGTCGCAAATTTCAAAAAGTTTATATGTCAGCTGTCCGCAGAAATAACGTGCGTGGGGCGCAAATATATGCTCTGCGCTCTCTACGTATTTCACTTTCTGCATGCGGCAAACGTGGCTTTCGAGACATCTAGATTACTCCATTTATAATTTTGTACCGGGGTGTCGATTGTGGTTTAGAAGTCACAACATGAGACCGAACCTGTTATAATACAGGATTTTAAAGCTCATAAGTATTTATAATTATTCATAAAATAGCTACATATGTAGTATTGGTGAACTTGTTTTCTCAGGGCATATCTGTTCGAGAAAATAGTATATAATTCCATTAAAAAACAAAGATAATATTGCTGTCAAAAATATCATATGTGCAAATCATGAGCCCCAGCATTCTCAATCGTTTGGTGATAATTTCATCTCAATATCTTACACCGTTTAGAAAATTATTGAGGTGGTTATATTATAGGCAAACTTAAACAAAGTCCGGGAGATTCGAAAATAATAAGTTTTGAAAATTCAAAATGATTAATGAATGCCTCTTCTTCCTTTGAATTCAGTGTATTGTTCTCCATTATCCCAAAAAGTTTGAAAGAAAACAAAATTGTCGGGATGGAATATGAACTTGAACACTTACTATTCCAAAGCGAGTTCCTTATTCTTCCATTACGATGGGTTTAATGTGATTAACCTGCTTATGCTGCTTATGTTATAATGTGCTGACATCTTAATATTGCGGTGCTTCTAACACATGTTGCAAATTTGTCACGGTATAAACATTACGTGAAAGCTACTAATAAAAAACGGACAGACAGGGAGGCTGTCGGACAGACGTTCGGACGTGCAGACGGTCGGACGGGCAGTTGGCGGACAGACAGACTGGCGGTAGTACGGACGGGCGAACGGACGGACGGGCGGCCGGGCAGTCGGGCAGCTAGACGGTCGGATACACAGGTCAGACACACGGATAGACGGACGGGGAAACACAGAGACGGGTAGACTTTTCTCTAAAGAAACACCTTTTCGGTGTCAGGGACCTCCAAAACCTTTATTGCTGTCAAAATCTGGACATCAGTTTCTTTCAGCTTTTCAGTACTTTCCCTGCGATAAAGTGAAAAATAGTTTCCGTAACTGTTGGCGAAGGAGCCTGCGTGCGCCCCAGCTGCGTACTCACCACGACGACGCCGAGGCGCGGCCCCTCGAGTATCCAGAAGTAGTACGTGAGGTTGTAGCCGTACCAGCACCTGCGCACACGACACACACGCTCACTTTCATTCCATTCCATTACTATTATTACAATTATCAGACACGTTCTATCCATGCGGTGTATGCCAGTCTCTTCCCCGTCGACTTGCTCTGATTACGGGGGACGAAGTAGGAAATGAACCCTCATGAGATCTGGGGCCATGGCCCCTCCCAAGAGTGTGTTACTTCTCTATATTTGGAAAATTTGATTTAAATATTTACGCTGGATTTTTGTAATTATTAAAAAAATTATATTTTAAAGTATCGAATACACACTACAAAGTAATAATATACAATATGATTATATGTTTTTTTTAACAAAACTCTATGATCCTCCCCTCCATGATCGGTTGGACCCGCTCCTGATGGGATCCCAGTTCGGTTTGGGAGAAATGTGTAGATGAGAAAGAGAGGGCATGGAATTCTGAGATCGCGCGGGTCTCGTGAACCGTTGTGTTGCAAGCCAGGGACACATGGGGAAGCGATAAAGGAAACCGCGGGATCGGCCGAGTGATCGATTAGCATTCGATGGAAGTCACCAGTCACATCCGGTAAAATAGCGGACTTTATTTACTAGGCTGGCTCCGGGTGACGCCGCGTCCATGGCGAAGGTACCGACGTTTCGGTCGCCATTCTGCGACCTTCCTCAGAGCGTAATGCGGAAGGGCGTTATTCTTATGTTTATGTTTGCACTGTGAATGGACAGAGTTCCCTGAGGAGGCGTGGACGTGACGGAGGGGAGGCGCGGCGTACGCATATAAAAATACTTGACTTTCCTGAAAAATTAAAAGATGCCTCATTTAATCCTTTGAGATCAGTTTTAGATGCCAGAAACAACTTTTCATTTCTGTTTTTCAAATGCCTGGTTTAAGAATTTTAAATACATATTCAGTGCCTAAAACAACACTTTTTATGCTTAGTATTGCCTCATTTCTATAATTCTGTTACGAGTTATAGGGGCCTACATCATCATTTATTTGTGTCTAAAATTCCGAGCTCCAGTTACGACGTGTTTCCACCATCTGAACGCTCCTTTGCGCGCGGCGTTGGGCGCGCGTGGGTCGTGGCGCGGAGCGCACACTTACTTGGAGGGCCCGTAGCGCAGGCCGGTTGTGACGGCCCAGGCCGTGGTCATGACGACTGGCGCGCCCCAGCCCAGCAGCGGGTAGGCGGCGTAGTAGGCGTGCTCCTGGAACACGGACACTGCCCCACGCGCGCGCCTCAGGTCAAGGAGCAGACGCTGTTCGCTTCGCGAGGCGCGCTCTCACACGACGTACTACCCCGAAACGTTGCTGGAATTTCAGCAGTGCGTGCACAGGGGGCCGCCAGAGGCAGCGAGGCACCTGGGGCAGGTGGTCCAAGTTTCAAACAGCAAATTTCCTCCTTCCCCCTGTTTATAAAAACAAAATTCATTTGCGCGCGGCGATGGTGTAAGGGTTAGCGTTTCGGACTGTTGGTGGGTTCAAACCCGATCGAAGCCGTGGATTTTTAAGGGCGAAAAAATCCTTCGTACGCCTTCACGTGGGCAGAGAGTATAAATCTCAGAGAGGCAAGTCGCGGAAGTGGGGGTCGGGCGTGGTAGAGACTCGTGCGGATGTATTTTGGGAAGTTCAGGTGGGAAGTTCAAGAAACGACAGCAAAGCTAGCCCACATGGATCGTGTCCTCGCAGCCTCGCATGACTCGTCATGTTACTGGGACGCGGCGAAACGCTCGGAGGCCCTCATGACCTCTGGCTACAGCCTCACGTGGGCGGAGAGTATCACACGCCTGCCAGAGAGCAAGCTACGCGAGGTGGGTGTCCCGCGGCGTGGAGTCACACCACGGCCCGCCGGCACCGCTGCATTTTCGGGAGAGCTCTTCATGGCGTGCAGCACGTTCAAGAGCTATACGGACAACAGCAGTGCGCACATCGCGTATGGCGGACTCATCATGTGATGTTGAGCTGCACCGCGCCGCGCGAAACTGCCACGAGTGCAAGCGCGTGCCAAGTCACTGTGGGGCGGACACTATGAAATCGTCAGAGAGCAAAGTCGCGGAGGTCGGGTGTCCGCGGCGATTGCGGAAAGAACTCCCGGTGCCCTGGATGTATTTTGTGGATTCGAGAATAAGAGTGGGGACAAGAAACGAACAGCAGCTAGGTCCAATGGCGTATGGCAGTGATCATGTAGAATGTTCGAAACATGAGCGCGCGAACGCAGAGATATATCGTGCCAAGTGCACGTGGCGGAGAGTGATAAATGCTACGAGTAGAGCCCGAGTCGCGGAGGTGGGTGGCTCTCGCTCGCGCTGAGGCAGCACGCAGTCCGTACCAATCGCCCCTTGTATTTTATCGACACTTCGACTCTCGGGAGTTCTAACGCACACGGCACCACCAGCAGCTCAGAACCACTCGGCGTTGCAAGTCTGATACATGCGGATGCGTGTGTGACGGACGCTGCTGTAATGCGCGTAAGATTGCAACCGTGTCGAGATAGGTATCGTTGCGAGCGTGAGCAGGAATATAAATCTCGAGCACGGCGTCCAAGTACGCGGAGGTGGTGAGTGGTGAGTACGCGCGGTGGGAAGACTCAATGCGCGTGATGTCCACTCTCCACTTCAGGTTGGGGCACGCGTTTGCAAAGAACGAATCACACACAACCAGGTCGCACTAGATCGTGAGGCTCACAGTGCACGTACAATATTAGAAGATGTGCGCACCACATGAACTCCGCCAAAGCACGAACCTGTTCTAGTCACGTATCTGTGTCAAAGTTCATGCCGGTGTCGGTATAGAGCTATGAGAATCCACACAGAGAGCTAAGATCTCGAGCGAGTGGGTATGCGCAAGTCAGCGTCGTGGGTGAGAAGCACGCACCAGCTGATGTTAATTTAATGTGAGAGATCATCAGGTTGTGAGGAGGAAAGCTATCTAAGTAACGTGTAACTAGACATAGCTCGTTAACGCCACATGTACTCTCGACTAGTCTGAACCCAATGGTTTTTGATACGTCTTGTACAATCAGCGCGAATCGCAGTGTAGTACTTGCAGAGTGCAATGTGCATTATGTTGTCACAGTGTGAAAGTATTTATAAAATCTGCAAGAGTGTGCATGAGCAATAGTCGCGAGATGTTGGTGTGTGATCTCACACGTGACGATCGAAGTATCTCCTAATGACACACTGTGAATTTTATCAGAAATATTCAGTATGGGAGACAGCCTTTCAAGAAATCGATAAACACAGGCTCAGTTCATGCTCAGGATGCAACGTGAGCTACTAGTTGATCTATGATTGATAGTGGAATAGTGACACTCTCTTAGGCTCACAAACTACTTCGAACTTCTCTCGAAACGTTGTTTCTAAACTCTCGTCAGTAGCGGCGGACTGTTCCAACAGCGGAGAAGGTTTCACCGTGGAGCAAGTCACTCGGCACGAGGGTGAGAGTATAACACTATAGCTGCATTATCGCATGATGTTAGCATTTAGCGTACTGAAGCTCAAAGACTGTTGTGCCGGATCTGCTGTGAGAATCACGTCACGTGGAGAGTTTTATGTTCTTCTGCGTAATTAAGGTGTGGTGTGAGAGTTGCTATAAAAACCGAAAGCAACTTATGGACGTCACTCTACCATGGAGGCCCAGAGGTGCACTCACTCTAAGTGATTTATTCACCTAGTGTATGTGTGCGTGTTTGGACCATTTGTCACGAGCGTTTTGCTGTGAAATCTCTCTGCACTGAGTCACTCACAGTGGTATAAGAGAATTCAACCTTCGTAGGCGAGAAGAGCATCACACATATCACTCATGTAGTAGGACAGAATGTGATGACTCGGCATTTGTTTGAGCAGGCTTGTGCTAGTGTGTCGTCTCACTCGAGAGCACATGATGAGAAGATATCACTATGCAGATATGACGCGATTCCGTGTGACTTTCTTAGAGAGGTCGAAATCAGGGGTGTGAGTAAACTGACGAGAAGACAACGAGAACTCTTATGCAACAGAGACACACTGGTGGTGCTCTCACTGCACAGTCTGAACATTCGATTAGCAGCATATTTGCGAATTGAACTTATCGGAGAGTGATTCTAGAGTGACTACGTATCTGGAAGGGGCACAGACGCCACACCGTTAGAGCGAGTATGTATGATGGTTACGATCTAGGCACAGCTACATTCGCTGGATAGACAGGCGAGAAGTATTAGGAAGGACAATCATACATGTGATCCAACGTCTCGAGTGTGATGGAGAGTTGGCAGCAGTCGTGAGAGTAGTACTCATCCGCAGATGTATACTGGAGATAATTTCAGTTAGTAGCGAGTTCATAAAAAACGAAATAGCAGGCGTTAGCAATACCACATGTGCGTATGGCCACGAGATAACAATAGTTAGATGGTTTGAATCTGACGTTGCGAGTGGAGACGCTCGAATGGAATATTGACCGTGGCAAGTCATGTGGGCGGAGAGTAAATCTCAGAGAGGCAAGTCGCGGAGGTGTAATTGTGCTACGCACGAAGCTGGTTGGAAGCTACGTGGCAGATTACGTAGTATTAAGACGAACCATTTCGACGCTGGTACGATTTCAACAGCACTATCCACTAGTTAATACTAGGCGACTCTAGGTTCACATTATGGCAGATTTAGGCACTCACAGATTCGCTCAATCGTGGATGTTGAGCTATAGACAAATCTGCGTAGCTACACTGAACGATTTGCGAGAGTTCCGATATAGAGATCGCTGTTACAGAGAGAAGAGATATCTGAAAAACTGCACACGCAAGAGAGTAAGTCTCCTGCACGTGCTTACAGCTCTCTGACATCGAGAGACGCTCGAGCAGAGGATGTACTTTTTTGCGATGTGTCAAATGCACGGCTGAGCGGTGAATGTTTACAAGCAAAACTGAACAGGCGCAGCTATGTGTCCACATCATACGGCCCTTGGCAGTGTATAATCCTGATGGACTACGAGCAGACGAACAGTGTATTGAACGATGGGAGATCAAGATACCACGTGGGGCGCAGTGCACGTGAGTAAAAAAAATTCTCAGATGAAGGCAGATCAGCGAGCGAGAGGGGTCGGAAGTTTGGTCTCGGTTGCCGAGGACTCGATTCCGTGCACTGCGACTCACCGTGTATTAATGTGCGAGAGAATGCAAAACGGTCCGGTTTGCAGGACGTCTTGGCCCGCATCATAGCAATAGCGCATACTACGCACGCGTAGACTCACATTGCGCGCACTTTAAAGCGAACCACACCAAGTGCACACTGGGTTTATTGGTGAGTGGAGCGCCCATCCCTATATACGCGGACTCACAATGTCACAGTCATTTGCGCATGAAGATATCAGACGAGCTCTGCAAGGGATTGATGTGAGCAAGGTTATGTTGACGATGTGAGCTCGTTCACAATGCACTGAGAAGAGAAAGTGCTCTAAAATGAGATGGAGGTACTATATTGTTGGCTGGAATGAATGAATAAAGACTGGAATTTGAGAAAGATATTATGGCGATGGTGTGATTTGTTTGTGGCCGTGTGTCTAAGATTTTTTATCGAGTATGACAAACTTGATCAATACTCAGCTAAAGTTACTTCACCGGTCTGCTTCACTATAAGTGTGCGTAATCTTTTTTTATTTTGCGACTATGGTGATTCACAATCGAGGGTACCGATAGTGGTGTGTTTTGCTACCCGTACCGACGCGTAGAACACTACTGCACGAGTGTATACGTATCTCTGACACAATTCACAGATAGTCTGAGAGAACGGTGATATAAACTCTCAGGCAGATGTCTAAGTCTGCGGAGAGAACCGCGCTTGTCAGGGCCGTGGGTGGTAGGTATATCCTCCGCCTGGGAAATCCTCAAACGCGTCTATGCAGGTTTTAAGGAATGGTTCAGGCTTCGTAGCGTGCCAGCGCTCAGGAGAGATATCGAAACAGCAGCGTAGGGCCATCATGAGTGTTATACGTCACTGATTCACTGGGTCGGGATGATGGATCTGCTCGTATAGCAACGGCGAAGACGCGTAGTAAATGACGCTGGGGCCAAGTCATGTGGGCGGAGAGTATAAATCTCAGAGCACAGAGTATTCTCAGCGTAGTGGGGCTGAATATGACCAAAGTGAATGATCGTACGAATTTTTTCACCTAGCCGACGGCAAGTTCGTGAGAGCTCTCGTGACGCATTCCGGATGTATTTTTGGCACATTGCAGACTTTAGTAGTTTCAGAG